GAAGGACATCATCGTGATTCAAAGAAATCCTAGGGGTAATATATCGTGATTCAAAGCATCGTGATTAGCTTACCCTCATATATCACCTTCGATCTTGGGTTGTAAGATCTCTGATACCAATCACCTTCTGAAGCTAAACCTTCCCTATTAGAAATGTCCTTGGTTATGGAAGTAATCGGGAAAGCAGATTTAACATACACATGGATTATGAAAATGATAATCACTTGTCAATTTCACTCACAAGATATTGAAGGAATTTAAAATCTCCTACAATAATTGCGGTCAAGAACCTAGAAACTTCCACCTACACCAGAAGTCAGACTGGAGAAAGAGAGACAGATACAGAGGGGAAGTTTTGCTAGAGGGGAATAGATTGGGGGTTGGATTCAGACCTCACCTCTTTTAGATGCATGCAGTCCCTTAAAATTAAAACCTCTAGTAGATTCCCACCACTTCCCAAATTCTTGATTACAAGCAGGGACAAATCTCATTCTGCACAAAATATAAGTTGAAAAAAAAACATTTTAAAGGGATTCTCCTAGTTATGGTTGAAAAGAGCAGCACAAACCTCAAAAATGTTCCAGTGATCGAGTAAGATGTCGAAAAATCGGCATATTTAAGTTTACGGAATCCCTGCAAGTAATATGAAGGACTAAACTTCTCAATTTACATTCAGGTCAAATTGATAACAGATATTTACAGACCACTGCTAATTGCAAGTAAAATGAAGGACTAAACTTCTCAATTTTCATTCAGATCAAATTTATAACAAATATTTAAGACAGCTGCTCATTGCAACATAATCTAATAGTATCTCAACTCTTCCAGGCATACAACACCGCCTCAAACAGAACTTAAGATATTTATGCAACCCCATCCTTCCTAATACTTTCATACCATTGAGATTATATGTCAACCAGAACTTAACACCAAACAAGTTCATACCTTAACAAGAATACGGACTTTATAATGATGCAGTTTAAAACCTCTCAGCGATAAAGAAGAAAGATTAGGACGATTGTTCACGACATCCACACAAGTTTGCGACTTCAAGCTGTCATCCCTCCCTGCATTATCATATGAGCATATATGTAAAGAGCAGTTAAAAGAGACACTCAAGAAGAGAATCTGTACCTGTTTTGGAAGACTCAAAGAATAAACGCTCTATCAAGTGACAATTGGAGCTCACTGACATCAAAGTTTGCCTCAACTCGACATGACTGTATCAATCGAAGGTTGATTGAACAATTTTAAGGTTAAACAAAAAACATAATTATCTACTCTGCTAAAACCACATTGTCTGAGTACCACAAACAATTGCAAACCAAATTGTGTTAAAACTAACAAAACTCGATGATCAGACAATAATTGCTTTTTTAATTAATATAGAATGTTTTATTCAGTATTCATTCATTCGGATATTTATTAATATTAGTATACTAATTTACGTTAGTGCACGTAGAAAACGGATCTTTTGTGAGCGTTGTTCTTTGATCAATCATTCCAAATTTTTTCATATTTAGAAACAACTTTTAAGTTATAAGCTTCTACCGCTTGTTATATCATCCAGCTGCAACAGCTTAACGCATGCTCAAACCAACAGAAAAGAAAGGAAAGGGCAAATTGGTGGGGTCAATAAATGTAAAAACCAACTTAGATAGCGAAACTTACAGGCCGACAATTTCCAAATCAAGTAAAGAAGGGCAGGCAGCTAATGCCACACAAAGTGATGTATTGTCCATTCTTTCAATATTGTAAAGATGCAACCTCCACAAAAGAGCCCTTACAATATGAAAATAGCAAATGATAAGAACAAAAAGAACAACTTATCACATAAACCACATTCTAAACAAGGAGTCAATGTATTCAACCATACCCAGCGGTGCCATTGTCCCCACTTAATGGGTATAAGCAGGTCCTTGTAAGAATATATGATTCCTTCCCTTGCCTGGTCTTTTTTTCATTCCATGAAAAGCTAGATACATCTACAGAATTCTAGATGGTATAAACCAATGGTTGACAGGAACCTGGAGAGGAAGTTGGGCCTGGTACTATTCCAAGCTTAAGCGATCTAAACAACCATTCAAAACATCGTAATTAACAAGAAAACATAACAACATAAACAACCACATGCAAATAAATGAACTAGCTGATACTAACCCATACTAATCCTTTTCTCTAATAGATAAAACATAAAGGAAACAACAAAAACACCTTCTGAGTTACTAATTAATGAAGTTTTCCAAGACTTAAGAGATCGATAAGCGGTAATAAGACTTTTAAAATGCAAAAGGAAACTTAAGTATCGGCTTAAGATAATGTATTTATTAGTTAAAAAGAAAGGCAAATTGTAATAGCGAAAAATGAAAGGAAATCTTACCGGAACGATTTCCCAGCTCGTTAGATCATGGTGGAGACAACGGCATTATTAACCTCAGGAACGACAGTGGTAAGGTAAATATTCTCGTAGCACAATGGATCCATAGCACACTTGTTAAACATCCAACAGGTTGCCGCAGCGTAGCAAAGACTCTGCGAATCTAACATAGAAAACACCTGCAATAAAATTAAAAAAACACGTCATCATCAAAACAAGATTTAAAAACAAAATCAAAGGCCTTGATGAAAATGTGGAAGAATGGAGGTATTTACCTTGATGGTCAGATCAGGAGGGAGGGCCCAGGCGATGGAGTTATGAAGGGAAGCACGTTTACGAGCTGAGCGATTAGCGGCACGGAGGAGGAGGGAACCAATACTGTGAGCGCGATCGATGAGAAGAGCCTGATCGGCGTCGGAAGGAGTGGAATCGAGGAGGCGGTCGAAGGAAAGGTCGAGGGAAACAAGAGGGGAGGAATCAGTGAGAGAGAGGAAAGAGAGGAGGAGATGGTCCATCTGAGTGAAGCGAGAAGGGAGGTTAGGGTTTTCAAAGGAGGATTGGCAACGACACTATAGTACATGTGTATAACGGCGTTTGTATAAAAACGCCACTATAGTATATGTGTATAACAACGTTTGTATAAAAACGCCTCTAAAGTATAATTCTATAGCGGCGTTTGTATAAAAATGCCACTAAATTATGAGTCTTTAGCGGCGTTTGTATAAAAACGCCACTAAAGTACTACTCTTTTGCGTCGTTTGTTGAAAAACGCCACTATCGATGAACCTATTGCGGCGTTTTTATAAAAACGCTGCTAACGTTACCATTTTGTGGCGTTTGCTATGTAAACGCCGCTATATGTTTAAAATTAGTGGCGTTTACTCCTAAAACGCCGCTAAAAACGCCGCTGTATAACAATTTTGCTGTAGTGTTGAAACCCAACAGAACCAGAAACTTACATTCTTCGAACATAAATGACATTCAACAAGGCACTAAAGCACTCTCTCCTTTGGAGATGGCTACAAGGCCTTGGCACGCAGATAGTCTTGTAAATGAACTGAACGTTCAGCGAACCGTTCATGAACCGTACGGCGGGAAGTTCGTTTATGTGCGTTTATTTATTAAATGAACGAACATGAACAAGATTTTGTGTTCGTTTAATTAAATGAACGAACATGAACATAGGTCTCGTTCGTTCATTTACGTTCGTGAACGTTCGGTTATGTTCGTTCGGTTATGTTCGTTTATGTTCGTTCGATTATGTTCGTTTATGTTCTTTTATTTATGTTTAACCCAATCTTCTTAAATCAATTTTGGTGACCAATTTGTAAGTATCTTAAAAATATTAATTAATCTGATATTCTGATGACCAACTCTATAATTAACCCAATTTATTTGGAAACGATCGTTGAAAGCTTCAAAACAATTTATATTATAATGCAATCTGAAGTTTTACAGGTTTGTTTTCATCTCTTTCTCTGTTTTATTTGGCTTAATAGTTGATATGTAAAGTTATTGCGGGTATCATTACATCTAAAACTCAAGAAAACATCATACTTCTTTCTAGAAATAGATGGGAAGATAAAGGTAACAATCGGAAGTATATGAGCATCAGTAAAGAGAAAAATATATAGAATTTGCCAGAAAATAAAACAAAGGTTTCTATGTAATTTCTGAAAAAGAGTGTAATAGCGGAAGTAATGGGTTTTACAGGAAGAACCCATTAATAAGTATAAAAAAACACTTTGACAATGAACTTTTGTTTTCATAGTTCTTGTGTGACCTTTAGTTGTGGAGTACACTTTAGGTACGTTAAAATTTTGAATGGTGGTTTAGCAATAATATCAGTTATGATATGTAGCATCGAAGGGATTTCGGATCTATGTTATTGTCTTGTAGTCCAATTTGTACCGTTCGAAATCTTCATGCTGTTAAATTTTCTACTCTGCCAACGGAAATGACCATTATTAACAAACCTCACTAAATTCTGACATTAATGTCACAAAAACGTTTAGCCGACAAATTTATTAGAATAACGTAGTGTAAAATGATTGTTCATATGTAATCATGGACCACTAAGATAAATGTTATAGCGTTAAATTAAAGTCGTGTGAATCATTTAATATTTTTAAAAGATCGATCGAAATATTTGATATCTTCAAACATTTCATCATTGCTAATCAGTTCTTACGCTATTTATCATTGTAGATTTGGTTGATTTGCATTGTCGACTATTTTTCATGAAAGAACAATGGAAGGTAGGGTCTCCAACGTTGATGTTCATTTATGTTCGTGTTCATTTATGTTCATGTTCGTTTATGTTCGTGTTCGTTTATGTTCGTTTATTTATTAAATGAACGAACATGAACAAGTTATATTCCTTAATAAACGAACATGAACAAAAAAATTTTTGTTCGTTTATGTTCGTTTATTTATTAAATGAACGAACATGAACATACCTCCGTTCGTGTGCGTTCGGTTCGTTTACAGGCCTACACGCAGAAGTAGCAAAAGAAAGAGCCTTTGGGTGTTATTATGCGGTCCAAGCTAACCTTTTTCTTTAAATGCAAAAGGGGGGACAAGGAATACTTTTTGGTATCATAAGCTTAGTTCCCTTATTGAGATGGGCCAAGACATTTTAAAAGCTCAGAGGAAGTTAAGGCGAGAAGTGTACGTCGCTTTGGGCGTCCAATTTCTGGGAATCACATCCCTTGCAGACAGTGTTCTTCTTGTTAATAATGTCGTTAGTTTCACTGAGAATGCCCCCTTCAAAGGTCCCCCATTGATGTTCCAATTTAAAATGTTTAAATATCTATACAACAAATCCATGGATTTGAAAAACAATCTTAAGTGTTACATTTGTGTGGTTAATCACACAACTGCCTTAATTTCTGAATCCAAATCCTTCTTTGTAAATCTAAATGCGATCTAAACATAGCCTTTCTCTTTCTTGTTGTTGCTACAACATATATTCATTTCCATAGTTATATTTATTGGAAACTTGAAATAGAAAAATGTTGCGGGAGTAATGCCTTAACCAGACCCTAAACCTTGCTTCTGAACTATCCTCTGCAGGTCAAGATTGGGCTTTGAGTTCTCACTCGCCCTAGGTCAAATCAGTTAACTGAAATTTATCGAACCTTGGGTGAGAACTATAATGAGAGGGTCCTGCCTTCAATCATTCATGAAACTTTGAAAGCTGTTGCTGCTCAATACAATGCTAGCCAACTCATTACTCAAAGTGAGGTATATATCATGTCTTGCATTTTCTATGCCCTAATAGTTGCATAAATGGTTTGGATTAATCGTGTGAAGTTGAAATATTCTGGTTTTAGAATGTTAGTAAGGAAATTCGGAAGATTTTGACTGAGAGGGCAGCTAACTTCAACATTCAGCTCGACGATGTGTCCATTACGAGTCTGACTTTTGGGAAGGAATTCACTGCTGCAATTGAGACTAAACAGGTGGCTGCGCAAGAAGCTGAGAGAGCTAAATTCATCGTGGGAAAAGCTGATCAGGACTAGAAAAGTGCTGTCATTCGAGCACAGGTGAGATGCATGAATCTGCTGCACTGGTTTGGTGGTTATGGTTTTATAGGGGGAAAAACAAAGGAAGTAAATGAAGACCAAAAAGGAAATAAGTTTCACTATAAAATTAGGTAAATAACCTTTCAAAGGGCGACAAAAATGTAAGCCGCCACGGTTTTAATCTTTTTATATTCTTCCACTAAGCTATTAATAGTTTAACGGAACACCGAGAAAATGATCACCAGCCTTAAATTATATAAACAGCCAAAAAGAATTCAAGCTAATTCTAGATGTATGCTCTAAAGTCGGCAACCAGCCAATAATTAAATTATAAAATGCAGATTTGGTATCTTGTTTAAGACGCAAACAATTTAATTTTCCAACCTCCAAGCCAAGTGAAAGGCAATACCAAAACATTATATAAAATGCACTACTGGGTGTCATGGACCATGGCCCCATCATCTCTCGAATCTCTTAGCCCCGTTTGGTTCATGGAATATTTCATTCCTAGGGGAATGTTTTTTTCCCGGGTTGAAGATACCCACGTTTGTTTCTCCACATTCTCAAATACCAGTTAAAAATTAATTATTTTCTTATTCCCGTCCCCTGCTTCCTAAAATATCCTTCTCCCCGATTGATTCTGCTGAAACAAAATTTTCTTCTTCTTCAATTTGGCGTTGAATTATGCTTCTGGCGTATTAGGTTTTGCTTGGAGCCCTTCTAAAGACGAGAATTCCTTCTCCTGCTGATGACGAGAAGAAGCTTAGAGCCTAGCAATTCTCTCAAGGTTGGAAAAGAATGGCAGAAGAATTGGCGCTAGATTTGGAGGAGCTTAAGCAGCTTCAATGCATCGCGAAGAGGCCACGTATTTTATCTTTTATTTCCTCTGAGATTCGGAACTTGGAAAAGGTCCCCCCCTTTTTCTTGGATATTGAAATTTTGATGTTTTGAATGAAACGTCATGTTATTTTGATTCGATTCTTCATATTGAATCTAGTTTATATATCCTGAATATTTCTAGTTTCTGGGTTTTTCTTAGAGGTTTTTCTTAGAGGCTTTTAACGGGGTTTGCTTTCGCAGTGTAGAAGATTTCATATTCAATGGTGTTTGTCATTTTTCTTGGTTGTTTATTGAGTTCTTCTGTTGCAGACATTAAAAGAGGATGCAAATGGAGCTTCTCCTGCTGCTGCTCCACAAATTCCAATTCTTATTGCAACCTCATCAAAGGCTCCGGTTAACCCAGCACTGAGTTACGTTACACTCGCCTCGTTCAGCTGGGATCAAGACAACGATAAAGTCAAGGTAAGAAATTTCGATATTCTTAGAGATTTAGAACATTTTCATCGCTAGTATAAAATATCAAATCCCCAACCTTGCAACCTGAAAAGACAAATTATCCATTTGACTTATTGAACCCAAAATCTTGGTCTGATTTTAATTCCATCTTTTCTTTACGAAATTTGAGAAGTTAGTCACTTCGATTTAAGTTGTTGGAATTTGGTCATCCTAGTTTATGAAAAATGAGAAGCTAATCTAATCTGACTATTAGTAGTAGACTAGTAGTTCAATAATTTATCTACATGGATTAGCAAAACTGTAACATCCTCCATGTCGGGTTAGTGATTAATTTGTAAAGTTTCAGCATTTGGTGATTTAAGTAGAATGATGGAAGAGTTCAATGACTTATTTGAGTTATTTTGTGTAGGATTGAATTATAAAGAAGGAATATTAGAAGGACAAAATGGTCTTTTTATAGCAATATAATTTTGGGGTTAGTATTATATTAAGCACGTGAAAGAGTAGGAAATTAAAACAAGCTTCCAGAGTCATCTTCTTCTTTCTTCTTCTTCATACGTGAGACCCAAGCTAAGGTAAGATTTTCTTGTTAGTGAATTTCTTGATGAATTTATGGTTGATTCATGACCATTAGGCAATAGTTAAGCTTAAAGGAAGTTTAAATTGTTTTAAAACCTCAAGAGGAGAAGTATATGAAGAATTAAAGAAATGAAGTAGAAAAGTGAAATCTTAGATTAGAGTTCATAATAAGAATTAGAAGTGAGATTTGACTTGTCATCAAGGTAATTAAGGAATATGAAGTGTTAGAATTGGAATTAGAACACCTTGAAAATTTAGTGTGATTCTTGAATGCCATGTAAATGATGGAATTTTGGGTTTAAAGAAGTGATTATGGAATAGAAATGAGTTTAAATATGTATATGGAAGTTAGGAATATTAAAAAAAGTAAAATATGAAGGTTTAAGCTGAAATGAAGTGATTTTCGAGCTCAAAATAGGATTTCTGGGCTAGGGGAATCGATACCCATTCAAGGGGAATTGATACCCCCTCAAACGAATATGAATTTCCAGAACGCTAGAGGGGAATCGATACCCCCAGGGGGGAACTGATTCCCCATAATAAAAAAAAGAGAAAAGAAGAAGAGAGACTAAACTATCAATTTCTTAAATTGGTAGGCTATTAGAGGTTAATTTCAAGACTTAGGCATCTGATAATCATCTTGAAAATTTTGCTTATGTAGATATTGAGCCTAATCGAGTTCCGGAACCATCGACAAGTAGGATCAATTGAGGGAAAAACAAAGAAATCTAGGTGAGTGCATATGCATAGCATGAATATGTATTTTATTCAGTTCTAGACTTGTGATAAGTCTAGATTCAATATTTTGATACATGATCGTAGTTCATATGATGATATATGACATGAATCCATACCATATGCATTATGGGACATGAATATGAAAGAAAAGTTATATGAGTTATATGATAAAGGTATGGAAATAATATGTCTACGTGATATGAATTAGATAAATTGTGAAAGCCCATGTTATGTAAATGAGAACTATAGGTATAGTTGGCATGCCAAGGGTAGAGGGTCTATGTGGTCCTTCAGGACATATATGTATTCTTTGGAACATATGTGAAGTCTGGTGAGACACATACTTGATCCTTGGCATATGTATATGATTCTTAAGGAATGATAAGTGGTCCTTCGGGACATATATGTATTCTTTGGAACATGTGTGAGGTCTGGTGAGACACATACTTAATCCTTGGTATACGTATATGATTCTTAAGGAATGATATGTGGTCATTCGAGACATATATGTATTCTTTGGAACATGTGTGAAGTCTGGTGAGACACATACTTGATCCTTGGCATATGTATATGATTCTTAAGGAATGATATGTGGTCCTTATGGACATTATTATATGGCACTCCGGTGCAATTCTACGCGGCACTCCGGTGCAATTCTACGTGGCACTTGGGTGTAATTATATGAGCTGTGGTGACAGCATAGTGCACAACCTCACAATACTCACATACCTTAGGTTCTCTGTATGGTACCATGGGCTAATGAACTTACTAAGGCGAACTTATGAATGTGAATTTGATAAGTATAAGTGTAAGAAACATGGTTTTGGTTATTGCATTGTTTACATACATCTTATTACTGCAACCTCTCTCATTTTGGCAATTACTTTATATTTATTGATATTATTATTATATTATTGCCTCACTAAGTCGATGACTTAGCGTGTGAGTGTTTCACACGTAGGATCCGATAAAGTAGACGATCGAGGTTAAGCAACTGGACAACATTACTCCTGCAACTATCAGATCAGAAGCAACTTAATCAGTAGGTCATTTTGTTATGAAAATGGATGTTGGCATGTAATTAAAGAGTTAAGTTGTGTATGCTCTGAATATTTTGGTAAACTTATATTACCATATGTATATTATTGTATTTTTTGTAAGATAAGTTCAAGTATTTTACTATTATTTGTAATGAGTTGTGTTTTAAAAGTCAATGTAATATCTTTGACTCGTATTCGGGTTGGGATACGGGTTGGGGGGTGTTACATTTAATGGTATCAGAGCTATGGTTTAGCCGATTTTAGGCATAAACCAGAGTCTATAGAGTCTTTAAATGGAATACATGCCAATAAATAGTGAGAACTTATGATCTGGTATAGTATGAGTATGTTGTTTTGCTAATAGAACAATGTGTTTATTCTTATTAGATGTCCGGACATAATAGCTCCCGAAGTGAAGCGGGAGAAGATAGGCATGCTGAAAGCAATAATTCACCTGCCCTGGCCAGGCAAGGTGAAGAACAAGCATCTCAAGGAGTGCCTGTGCAAGATCAAGATATGTTCTTCAGAACGTTAGACGCTATTCTAACGCGTCTTCAACCTCATGCTCCACCAACTCAAAGGATGAATGTAACAAAAGAGTTGAGAGGTTTAGGAGCTCCTGAATTTAAGGGAAAAACCGAAGAAGGTCCGGTTGTGGCAGATCTTTGGTTAAATGATTTAAAAATCATGTTGGATGGTCTCCACTGTTCTGAAGTGGAGAAGTTAGATGGAGCTGTCTCGTTGTTGAGGGGTCAGGCGAGAATATGGTGGACGAACGTCACCATGAGGATGCCCAGTGACCAATTGACTTGGTCTTTATTCTTAGATGAATTTAAAAACAAGTACATTGGAGATCAATTTATTCGACAGATAAAGCAAGAGTTTTTGAATTTGAAACAGATGAACCGCTCTGTATATGAGTATGAATGTGAGTTCAACAAGTTGAGTAGGTTTGCATCCGAGCTTGTGCCTACTGAAAAAGAGGCTTGTGAATGGTTTGTGGAGGGTTTACACCCTAGATTGAAAGAGATGCTGATAGTATTGAATTTGTCCTCGTTCTAAGAGGTGATCAATCGTGCCAAGGCTCTTGAAAGAGCTCAGAATGAGAGATTTGGGGATTTTAGAGTTCAGACATCAAAGAGAACAGGTGCTTCTTCTAGCTCTGTACCATCAAAAAGGGGAAGAGACTCGGGATTTCGATCACAAGCTAGATCAGAATCAGTTGCATCGTCTGCTAGGGAAGCAAGTCAGGCAAGACCTAGACAGTCGCAGTCAGTGGGATCTGGTGTTGGGAGATCTACTCCGAGTCAAGCGAGACAGTGTCAGTACTGTGGGAAAAACCAT